AAAAAAAAAAAAAAAAAAAAAAGTTCCCTTACAAATCTTTAAAAGGAAAGCTTTCCTTTTTCTCTAAAAAAGCTTTTTAACAGGCAGTTCAGAGGGGGAGAAATGTAGTAGCTTTATGAATTAATAGCCTTACTTGTAATTAAGGGAAACAAAATAAAATAATAGTATAGCATTTCTTTCGTTTAACAAATTGTCAAAAAGTTTTAGATTTGATGAAAGGCTATCAAGCAGCAGGTGCAGGACAATAGGCACGTCACACGTTATTGATTGGAGTGTATATGGTGTTTATGCTGCCTTTCGGGAGGGCCATTTGACAGTATTTATTAAAGTTAAAAATCACATGCTCTATGAAATGATAAGTTATTCTAAGACTATATCCCCTGGATATATTCACAAAAGTTGGTATATGTTCACACATGCTTTTAGCATTGAATAAGTAGTATCTATGCATTTATTTATTTGAGACAGAGTCTCAGTATGTCACCCTCGGTAGAGTGCTATGGCGTCACAGCTCACAGCAACCTCAAACTCTTGGGCTTAAGCGATTCTCTTGCCTCGGCCTCCCAAGTAGCTGGGACTACAGGCGCCTGCCACAACACTGAGCTACTTTTTTTGTTTCAATTGTCATTGTTGTTTACCTGGCCTGGGCTGGGATCGACTCCGCCAGCCTCAGTATATGTGGCTTGAGCCATAACCACTGTGCTACAGGCGCTGAGCCTATCTATGCATTTATTAAGAAGAATAAAGTCTGGAGCATGATGGCACGCACCTGTATTCCTGGCTACTTGGGAGACTGAAGCAGGAAGATCTTTAAAGGCCAGGACTGCAATGTATATTGATCATGCCTGTGTTCCTGGCTACTTGGGAGACTGAAGCAGGAAGATCTTTAAAGGCCAGGACTGCAATGCATATTGATCATGCCTGTGAATAACCTCTGCATTCCAGCCTGGGCAATGTAACAAGACTGTGTCTTTTCCAAAAGACAAAAAAAAAAGGAATGTGGTTTGAAGAGAGTCAACCCCCATATGTATAATTAGAATATGATCCCATTTGTATTTTTAAAAATGTTTTTGTGGGCT